CTTGTTGTGAGTACCATGCTGGGGCACATGGGCATTCAACTGAAAACTGTAAGGTGCTTAGGACCAAGATTCAGACTCTACATGACTCCAACTTGTTCTAAGTCACACCTCAAGGCATCCAGATCAATAATTCTCTGTCATCCAGTCACGTGGGTTCAACAGTTAATGTTATGGAGGAATTCACCGAGGGCAGAGGTTCAGAAGAGTATCAGACTGACTTCGACGAGCAATTCTGAAGATGGCTGATTTAGCAGCAAGTCAATATTTTGAAAGACATCCCCCAAAGTTGGCAATCACTTTTATCATGTCATTTCTTTGCATTTATAGTTTCTTTTCTGTTTGAGTGCAAATTTCATTTGTAAAACTTGTTTGTTTTCAATTTATAATGATAATGAAATGAATATGCAAGTTTTTTATTAAATCCATTTGTGTTCACTCTATGCTTTTATTGATGTCAAACGCTTGTTTAAGTGGAATCCGAGGGAGGATGACGAAGTTGATAGACGCGCAAGTTTCCGATTGTATGCTTTTGAATAAAACCTCTGCTGGTGATGTACAGTCATTGTTTCAAATTCCGAAACACCTGAGATATAAGGATGACAATCCCTTGTCAACCCCTTTGAGCCTAGTAGTAGGAGTTTCTTTCTGGAAAACGGAAAAATCCTCAATTTTAACCTGGGGCAGGGTAGGTGTCAGTTAATTTGACCGAGCGCCCAAATTGCAAAAAGGAGTGTTCCCGTTCGAGGATCAATCACACCTCTAGAGGTCGTGCCTAAAAAAAACCACAGTGCCTATCCCTCACCGACCAAGGAGTGAGACAGTCACAATCTTTTCAAACGAGTCAGACAAGTCAGTGTCACACGATTGGTTCAAAAAAAAAGAAAAAAAGGGAAAATCAGAAGAAAAGAAAAATAAGAAGCCTGTTAAGTCGATAACTTGAAAACAGGTGGCTTAGGCAAAAAATAGGGCATCCCGCTGGACTTTGAGATCAAAAGATGTACTCAAAAGAATCAGTCCAGACAAAAGTAGGAAAATCAAAAGAATGACGTAAAACTAGTTGTATGACTCCGGGCACCAAATACGAAAAAGCGAGTGACTGTCACTCCAAAAAAACTTGTGATTTCCTGAACCATCACTCCTATCATTCAACCTTTGAGAGGTGAGCATTTGTGTCGAATTAGAAGAACGTAGGATTGGAGAACATCAAGGAGAATGGGTGGGTTAAAATAAACTTTGAGCCTTATACCCTTCTTTCAAACCGTGAACCTGGCCACATTACAACCTTTAAAAGACCTAATTGAAGCAGGTTTGTTTCGAAAGCATACTTCGGTAAAGATCGCGTCAAAAATGACTCCTAAAAGGATTTTCTTGCCCAATGGGTATTGATATTGACATTCTGATAAGTGATTCGTTCACTATATGTCACAACTTTTTTTGTCCCAGTGAACATACTAGGATTTCAAAACTGTCATATACATTGCATTAATATATCTTTTGTGCAGAATAATTTGTTTTACTTGTGAGTAAGCACTTGATATCAGGAGAGTTTCCACAGTGGAAATTTTGATCAGGATAAAATGCAACACGCCTTAGTACTCTGTTGAGCAAGGGGGAAGTCATATCAAGTGATCATATCATGAGAGTCAGCCATCATAAGGTCAGTTAATCTGAAGGCAATCATGTCGAGATTCATCAAACCTCTCAAAGATTAGTCAGAGGCACTTTCTTCACAAATCAGCCAATCAGGGGCGAAGTCATTGCAAGGCTGGGGCAGGCCACCCTAAGAGCCCAAGAGCTATTCTTATCCAGAAGGCAATTAACTTGAAGTACCTCTTCAAAGTTCAGAATGTTGAGGCAATTCATATCAAACCATTAGGGTACAGAAATTTAAGGTCTCCTTTCGAGGAAGGCTTTATAGAGATTCCACAGGCTAGGGAAAATTTGGAAACAAAGGAACTATTACTCTCTAAATCTTCAGAGCTTATCAGAGTTGGTCAACCAGGAACAAATTCTTTCATGGTACAGATTTTGGGGCAAGCCATCTTAAGGTCGTCTCATGGCAAGCTTTTCTTTTCAAGATGAACTGTCCCAGAGATCAGATCGGGGCAAGTTGAACTACATTGAGGCAGTTATCCCAACGAGTTTTTTGAAGGGCGATTACTTCAGATGGGAATGCAGACAAGCATTTTGTTCAACAAAGTTTTTGGCTTCCCCACAACAAAGATTTTTTCTTCCCCACAGAATCATGTTGTCAAGTCAGAAGTGTTGTCGCCAGTGGAGGTGTAACATATCTCCAACGGAGCAGAGTTTCTGTCTCCCCGTAAAGGCTAATCACTAGCAAGAGGGATTTCATTTTAGTGTTATTTCCCGACAGAGGTAACGTCTTTGACGTCCTTCCCCAACAGAGTCATCGTTCTGGTGTCTTCCCAGTAATATCAGTATTCAGGATTTTCCTTCTCGAGCAGAGTTTAGCGCTGATTCCCTCGGCAGGTACATCAACGACAGATTGATATCTCCGGCTAAGTCCAATGATCATTGGCATCTTGGAGGATCAGTTGTCGAGACAAGCTCCCGACAGATGATTTTCTTTTTTGTCTTCAGGGCAGATGTTTAAGTAGAGCGTGATCCATTCCTCAGTAGTTTGGAATTCTCAGTAGAAGTCTCTGGTATTCCCCGACAAGGTGGGTTGTTACTTATACGTCCCGGGCAGGGCGAATTTCTTTCCAAGCAGGGTGGAGTTCTCAGCGCTATTCTTGATTCCCCATTGGGTGGAGTTTTGGTGTTTTCCCCAACAGGGTGAAGTTTTTCAAGGAGGGTCATCCAGGGTCAGTTTCTCCAGTAGAGTGGATTTGTTTCCCCCAGCCGATTCGTTTGTTCCCCAAAAGAATCGTATTCTGGTAGGCCATCCAGGGCCGTTTTCCCTCAGCGAAGTTGGTTTCTTCTCCCCAGCATTTATTTTGCTGGGGTTGGTCCCTTTGCATTTGCATAACATCCTTCCAAATGTGTAGCATTTGCATTTTGTATGGAGCATTACACCATTTTCAAACATATGCATCTGGAGCATAAGCCAAGTTTGATGCCTTTGACGTGGTTGCCTTTGATGACAGGAGACGTGTGATTCAGGAGATTTTCGTGTTATCCCCGTTGGGATGGATCTTTAGGTTGTTCGTTTTATTGGATTTCTCCCCAACATAGTCGTTTGGTTAAACGTCTTCTTTCCTCAACTGAGTCGTTTGGTTAAACGTTCTCTTTTCCCACGAGTTGTTTGCACGAACGTCTGCATCATCCCCAGGAAAGTCGATTGTGAACGTTTTCTTCCCTGGTCGAGCCGTTGGTTCAGATGTTTTCCCCAACAGAGTTGTTTGGTGAAACTTCTTTTTCTCGACAGAGTTGTTTGTTTAAACCTCTCTTTTTCCTACCAGAGCTTTCTATGCAAGTTGTGAATCAGATGATTCTGTTGCCTGCCTATGCTGGGTGTGTTATCCCAACTTTTTGTTGGTACTCCCCAACGTAGTCCGAATTATTGTGTTTGATATTCCAACTTTTGCTTGGTAATTCTAGGGTGTGCTATCCCAACTTTTTGTTGGTAATCTCTGGTTCCCCCTGCAGTAATCTTTACTCTATTCCAACTTTTGGTTGGTGACCCATTGGCAATTGGATGTTATTCCAACTTTTGGTTGGTAATCGTTGTTTTCCCCAACAAAATCGGATATTCCAACTTTTGGTTGGTAATCTTCGTTGCGATCAATTCGCTCTCATTCAATGTTTCCGGCGATCATAACTTTTGGTTAGTAGTTTTGTATTCCAACCATATTCCCCTGGCTTTGACCTGACAATGGGGTTGAATGAAACGAGTCATCCATCGTAATAACATATACAATTAATCTATGCGATTTAGGATGACCTCATTTACTCTATTAATACATGGTTGGATTCATTTTTACGATGATCAATGATCGATGAACATTGAATCCGACGAGATCAAATGCTCGCCACCTGACCCTGCCCTTTCGCGCCAAATCCTCAATGTGTTACTTAAGAGCTACATACTTAGTGAGCCAAGCTCTTTGACGCCAAATTGAAGTTATTCTACTTCACAATCTCTCAAACATGAGATTCAAAAAGACAACATGATTAAAATAAGATCTTCCGATTTACATTCCCTCAAGTATGAGACCTGAAAGGACAATGTGATTAAATAATGATCTCCTAATTCACAATCTCTCAAAATTTTGTAAAAATGTTATGGTTAATGTAAAACCTCATAATTTAATATATGATGCACTGGGCAATCCAACATAATCAAAGGTTTAAGCCAAAATTTAAATACAATCATGTATTAATTTTTAGGCGATGTACCTATTAATCTTTTTAAGCCGGTTAATTATTATCTAATTTATATTTCGAGGTCTATATACCTTAAAGAAATTTTGTTAGGTTTATGGTTACGGCTGACCCAACACTAAATTTATTTATAAATATTTAATTTTTATATAAATTAAATATATTAATGGTTATATAAATAAAAAAATCAATTTATTTATAATAATAATTAGGGAGTATATTTTGTAAAATAAAAAACTAAATAAAAAATAAAAGAAATGAAATGCTAAATTACCAAAACACGGCTATATTCTCAAGTGGGGAGCACTTTCATTCAAAACCACTGAAATTAATGGCGGGATCATTCCACAATTCACAATTTTCCCCTCACGAGCTTAAAATATTTTGTTTTTCTCACAGACACAGTTCCCACCAAAAATCATTTTATACTTATCAATCCGTCCTACAATCTTTCCACCAATCAAAATCAAGCACTTTAAATCTAACGCTCCATCTTTTAAGTTCTCCACTCACACGGATCATTACGAATCCAACGCTACAAATTACGTACTCGTATCCTATATATCATTCGAAATCTCGTTTCTCTAAAAGAAAAGCATCAGCGTTCACATTCGGTTCAATCGCAGAGAGAAAAAAAAACTCTAGAAATCGCAGCTATGTCAGGAAGAGGCAAAGGAGGAAAGGGTCTTGGAAAGGGAGGAGCCAAACGACACCGTAAGGTTCTCAGAGATAACATTCAGGGAATAACCAAGCCTGCTATTCGTCGTCTCGCAAGACGTGGTGGAGTGAAACGTATTAGCGGTCTAATTTATGAAGAAACTCGCGGTGTTCTCAAGATCTTTCTTGAGAATGTGATCCGTGATGCGGTTACCTACACCGAGCATGCTCGCCGTAAGACTGTTACTGCGATGGATGTTGTTTACGCTCTCAAGAGGCAGGGAAGGACTCTCTACGGTTTCGGCGGTTAGAAATTTGGGGATTGCTTTATATTAGGGTTTCTTGTAGTTTGAGTATCAATGTTGATACATACTGTGTAATTGTACTCGATCTTTAGCATCAACGTTTGTTTTCTCTTTACTTTGAGCTATTAATTGATGATTTCCAATTTCAATCTTTACTGATTCATTGCTACAGTTGTTAATTTTGTGGTGCATGTTTGAGATTATATAGTTTAATTTCTTTAGGTAAATCAACTTTTAAGAACAAGTTGTCAAAGGATTCAATGGTTTGATGGCAAATGGGGCAACTTCCCTCTAGTTGTACGCCAATTTTGAACAATTGAGCTCTAGTTGGAAGAGCGTTCTTTGAAAGTCACCAATGGAGATTTTTGAGTTTATTTAGAAGGGTTTTTCATATTTCTTTTCTAACTAGGGGAGGTGAGATTTTGAGTATCTAGAGATTTCTGGTAGTTTATTTACTTCATGAGCTGGTGAGTAAATTAGACTGATTTTTCGCAATCCTTTTTCCAATACAAAATAATCTTGTTTTATGAAAGTTTATGAGAAATGGATATGCTGAGAAATTGTTTTGCTTCGAATTGGCTAAAGTTGGTAGGGACCAATCTATATCTCATTGTTTAGTCTTTGGATCTATCTAAATTGAGAAGATGCTTATGTCTGTTAGGTCTTGTTTGAAGAGAAACCCAAGAACTCTTTTGTATCTTCACTTTCAATTCATTGCCAATTGTTCACCTCATACCTTTTTTCACCACATGTTTGCATTAAGATTTTGTTTAGAGTTTGGAGAGAAAGGAGAGAGTTTCCAATTATTTTATTTTAATATAGCAATTTTTTAATATTTTAAAAAAATGATTTTGTATAGAATAATAAAATAATATATTATCATTATCATATTTTTAATTTTGAAAAGATTATAATAACGTAGATTATGTTTGAACAATTAGTCTAAACTCTTCAAAACCCTCACAACTCATTCTCTAATATAATTTTTTAGTTCCTCAAGGAGATTTTAGTTTATGAATAAAATAAATTCTCCAAAATCACCCACACCTAAATCCTTTTTTTTTTCCCACTCAATTATTCCTTTTTTAGAAGTTTTTCCCTCATTTTCCCTAAACTCACAAACAAAGCATAAGAATACTTCTCGAAACATAATTTGGTTATCCAATAATGACTTTTAAAAATTTGTTGTTAGGTGTTTATTGTAAATTTTGGTAAACAATTGTTGGTCTATCAATTTATGATGAAATTAACTAATTGGCAGAATTGACCATACTAAATCATAGAACATGTGCTAAGTTTGAAAAAGATTTTAAGTTGAACTCCCCGTTCGACTGGGAAACCTCTTAGAAAGTGAGATCACTTAAAGACTAAAGACAACAAGTAAAGAAAAGCAAGTGATGCGTCGAAAACAAAAGCAAGAATGTAAAGTGCAATGATGTAAAGACTTTGAAAAGTAAAATCAAAAGTAAATGACTTCAAAGTAACTGCTGTAACGTAAAGGGCGAAAAGATTACAATTAAACTCCACGTTCGACTATAACTTCTTTGAAAAATAAATGAATTTTGAAGATAAAGGTGCAAGAAAGTAAATTGTTTGGAAAATAACTCTAATCTGAACTCCACGTTTGACTAGGGGATGTTGAAAAGTAAAGGTGCAAAATAGTTAAATGACTTTTAAAATAACTCTAATCTAAACTCCACGTTCGACTAGGGAAACTTGAAAAGTAAAGGTGTAGAAAAGTTGAATGGGTTTTAAAATAACTCTAATTTGAACTCCACGTTCGACTAGGGGATCTTGAAAAGTAAAGGTGCAGAAAAGTTATAGGATTGTCATGACGCTCTGGCTTTCAACATAGGGAACTCAACATAGGGAACTCAAGTGGAATACACATCTGAATGAGATGTTCAAAATACATAGGTTAGATGACTGTCATGACGCTCTGGCTTTCAGTTAACTAAAGATGGTTCCAAGGATTCTCTTATGGTTGGTTTCACGCATTTTATGCCCAAAGAAAAGAGGGTACTCAAGAGTAGATTATGCTAAAATTCATCTTGTGTATATTCTTCTACACAAGATTCATATCAATTGGTCGCATTACTTTGTCTACTGAATGTTAACAATCAAGAAGTGTAATAAAGGTACATCCTTCTACTACATTTCTATGATCTCCAAAATTCTCAACTTCTTAAATATTGGCGTGCCAAACTTGGTGTTCATATTGCCAGACCCAATTTAAGAATTTTCCAAACGCACCTTAACAAATATGTGGTACTTTTGGAATGATAAATTTCAAGTATATTACTTTAGGATGGGTAAAAATGGACAGAAGGTGTACAACTTTGATGACTCTGCAAAATTTGCTGACTCCACCACCGAGCCACATGTTGCCGAGGATGAACTTATGCACAATGTGAACCATGAAGCTGATCAAAAAAATGATGATATACATGGAGATCAATCCTCCATCATAACACTACTTTAAAATATGCAGATCAAACATAATGCTCAGATCAAACAACTATTCACTATGCAAGAACACATAAAGACTCAAGATGCAAACTTTGAGGACTTTGCATCTTTTATGACTGAGAAACTAGTCTCTTTAAAAGATGAAATGGAAGCAAATACAGTTGCTACCATTGCAAGGGTTAGTCACATGATTGCTTCCCAAAATAAAGACCACCATCATTATACATAGTTTTATCATGAAATGTGTGACTTTCAGGACTATCAGTTTGGTAGTGACGACCAAGGCTGGTTTTGTGGAGTGAGACCTGGTGGTCGCAGAAGACAATGATGTGTGAAGCTTAATTAGTTCTTGTCGCGTGTCTTAGGATTTGTCAAATGGTGGTTAAGCATTTAGTCTTTCTTTTCTGTCATCATGTATTGTCATTTCTGTTTGGTTTATTTTATGATGTTCGATTCATGTATTGATGCAGTACTTGTATTATGATTTATCAAATTCAATAAAAATGAGTATTGTTGGTGTGTTTATTAAGTTTGTGTGTTTACATATATTGTATATGAATGCACTGCCTTATGTTTGCAATTTCCTCTGTATAGTATAATACATATGTGAAATGGTATCTATATGATACTTCTAATGGCTTATTTGTCTCTTTTTGATGTTGTCAAGGGGGGGGGGGATTATTAAAGAGGATAATACACACATTCAGAGGGAGCTATGCAGTGTACCGAAGAAAAACACAACATTTATAATATTCTAGTTTTTTCCATCATAAAAAAATGGGAGTATGTAAGTGCGCTCTTCCACTTAGTCATGTTTTGAATGATGTCAAAAGTAGGAGGAATAATTTAGCATTTTTGTACACTGGGTGGTATCAACCAAATTTTAGATGTGCATTGATCGTCTTAGCATTAGGATGCACACAAATAAGTTTGAAAATGATTGGAAATACCTTCGGCATGTTTCATGCATCAAAAATGAGTTTTAAGTATTAAAAATGTTACATAGGGCGACACATACAAAAATGGTGGATTGTAGCAGCATTGTTGGTGAGTTAATCAAACTTTAATCAAGGGTTTGGAGGTCGTATTATAAAAAATAAACAACATTGTTGGTGAATAATCAAACTTTGATCAAGGGTTTGGAGGTGGTATAATAAAAAAAACCATAGGGTTTATGGGGTTAAAGTTTTTCATCTCTTTTATAAACATTTTTGCAAAGATAAGGTTAATTAGAAGTATCTCAATTTGATTTTGAATTAAGGGCAGACTTATCCATAATGACGCCGATTGGGTAACTGCCTAAACAAATCTTTGTGTGTGTGTGAGTGTCTCTCTCTAATCGTTATTCTTGCAAATTATCGAGTCAATTGTTGTTTTGATAATTTCGATTGGAAATTGTTTTTCAACTATATTTTAAAGTGTTTTTATTGATATAATAATAATCAATTTGATTGTGATTGACTTTTAACATCAATAAAACAAATTGAATTTCCAAACATTATCGATCGCACACAAAGCGTTTGATAAATTGCTTTTGAGTATTTTAATTGAATTTTGTTCATTGGAAATAAGCTCTACATATAACTTAACATTTAATTAATTTGCGGATTAATATTTGTTGAACAATTTGCGTTCATTATCATCCAATTGGTTTACGTTACGTATATATGAGCTTTTCGATAGTAGGTTCGGTTAGACGATTCGATTCGGGTTGTTTCCCGTGCGCCATAAAACTTTTGAAAATAATTTTTGCCAAAAGTTTTGTTTTTAAATTTGTGATCTATCCACCACCTTCTACATAGAAGTCTATCCTCTAACAGATTTAAGTCGCCATCATGTAGTCTTCCGTCTAAGAAATCAAAGCCCCATTGCCATATGCTTCGATTCCATTGCTACAACGTTTAATTTTGGTTTCCGTAATCTACGGTTCATGAGTGTTTCAACGTGGTTTGGATTGTTGGATAAGAACTAGAGCAAAGAGATGATGGATTATGGAAAAAGGGATACTACACGAGTATTTTGTTACCGATTTCATAATGATTTGGCCTCCGGCACGACAGGGTATTTTGGATTCAGGCAAAGATTTGGTTGTGGATGTGAAGTGAGTAAAGATGAGAGTGAATTCAAGTTGATCTCTTTTTCCCACTTGCTTAGCACAATGTGGGCTTCTGGCCCATCAAAAGTCTATTTGCACCCCTTATTTCAATATGCACACCCTCTATAGCTTGTCCTGGAGTTCTAGGCTTTAGGCACATCAGATTACTCAACACACTCTGATTTTTCCACATACACCCCTTCCTTTCCATTTCTTCTTATGTCTTATTCCTTTATTGTTCCACTTGTGCTTTAATATCTTTTAATTGCCTTTAAATTCATTTTATTTTCTTTGACATGAAAATATTTTGGAAAAAAATAATAAAATGTGTTTAGATTTTTAGGATTAATTATCTAATCCATGTTAAAAGAAAAATAATCAAATAAGCTGTAGTTAGATTTTAATCACTAGTTTTTGAGATTAATTTTCTAATTAGATTTTA